AAGGGGGGAACTTTTACGACAGTCTACGAACACACAGATGCTCAAACATTAAGCGAACAAATATTTCATTCAATTTCCGGCGTTAATTTTATGAATTTTTTTTTATTAAATTTATTGAAATTCATTACTTTTTCACTCATGGGGGTAGGGAATGGGAATGGATGAATATTTTTACTTAAAATAATGAGTAAATAAATATTTAACCAATTTTTCATATCAAAATTTTAAAAATATTCACACATTGCAGATAAAATGCAGGTTAGGAATTCTTTCAAATCCCTAATCGAGAATTAAATCTGAAAATTCTAGAACAGAACTCTTTTGAGGATTTACTTGATTTGCTTTAGAAAAGAGAAGTGTTTCTTAACCTGTAAATTACCCGTCTACCAAAAATTCACACTTATCTGTAAAAGATAATTCTGAAGACATTAAATTTGTTTTGAAAGTAATATATTAATCTCTCTTCGTTTGAAAAAATATTATAAATTACAATTTTTTTAACAACGTGAAACATTTAAGCGTATAATTGAGTAATGCACAATAACTTGTACATTATTTAAACAGGATTTAATTGAATTATTATATAATAATAAAGCACTCGAGGACTATTTGCCCAAGGGGAAGAACGCTTTAATGGAGTACTTTCTAATTGTTATTTGAAATGAAATTTTACAATTTACTTTATTTTTGCTTTTAATTTACTTTCTCCAGCATTCAGTACGTGAAATCATCAATAATAATATATATTAATGAAAATAAAAATGGCATTGCACAAGTAAAAGTATATATTACTCCGTAAATTTCGATAAATTAATTACTGAAAATATTAAACATATCAATGGCCAGCGTTGCCCTAATAGTTTTAAGTTGCATTTCAACATCTGAAAGAAGTTTTCACTACACAAAACAAATGGAATATTTCAGAAAACAAACGAATGGACCCGTTATTGCAATAGTTTTTGCAATATTTTTTGTAAATTAAACTTTAATTAACACGTTTTAATAGTAAATGATGCGATTTTCACTCGTAAAATTCCTTTGTACATTATTCTCTTTCATTTCGGCATCACTGCATAACTTTTCTCAGATGTAAATAGCTTCTGTTAATATATGTTCCCATACATTATATTTATTTTTTATGTTTTTGTCATTAATAAATTAATGATTAAGATAAAAATTGATACTGCTTAATTTATAAGCAATGTAAAGACTGGAAATCTGAGGTCATTAATTTCTGAGACATAAATAGCTTTCTAAGACGTAAATAAAACATAACAATAATCATAAATATTAATGTTCCTAAAATAAATCCAATTTTCCTGATTGATTTTTGCTTTCTGATTCACCTGGGGTACAACAAACCTATTTTCATAAATGAAGTTTTGTGCATTTCTCTACTAAGTACGCAAAACTTGTTTCATACAATTTTATTATTACTAATTATGAAAAACTTTCTACTTGTTTCCTAAACATATTTATGTGTACTACTTTTAGAATCCATGTGACAGAGTGCGATTACTCATCTTCAAATATACGTTAGTATTAATAAGCTTAGCTCTAAATTATTAAACATTTCTGGGATCTTGAAACTTGGAAGGGAATTGCCATATTTTGCTACAATGGGTATTTAAATTTAGATTAATTTTAAAATTTCCATTTCCTATTACACATTCATTTTCAAAGCTTTTTGGATACATATCAATAAAATTTGTTTTTACCTGTTTATGATTTCATCGTAAGCTTGCGAAGAATTTCCTAAAAATATTCGAATATCCATAATTTTTACTGTTAAATATTTAATAATTATTCATTAACTTAAATGAATTTATAGTACAGAAAAAATGCAGAAAGATATTGCAGGTGATGTATTATGTATCATTGGAATATGACAATAATAATAGTACAATTTGACTGAAGAGAAAAAGAAAGGAAAAAAAAAAACAAAAAAAAAAACAGATGTTTCAGCATTTTAAAAGGGAAATGGACAATGGGCATCTTTACAGTAAGTAAAGTCTTGGATGAAAGGTTTTACTGTGACTCAACTTGGGGAGACACTGGAAAATTTATATAGTGGAGGCGGGGTCCCTTTCTTCGTTACAACAGCTGCATTGAGAAGTGTGAAACCACTACCCCCTCAAGTATACTTGTAAATTTGGTTGATGATTCAGAACAGTAAACTGAACTTAAACTTGCTCTTATTCTAATGCCATTTCTCTAGTCTATGGTGAAGAACAAACAGAAGTTTTTCTTTAAAATTAAATTTCAAAGTGATCTTAAATATAATTCTTCATTATAAATATAATTCTCATTATAAAGGTAAGTTTTTGATTTGTAATATCTAAATTAATCATAAACTAAATTCTTATAATTTAAAACTTGCTGAAACTTCAATTCAGCTAAACTTTTAATCCATTTATCTGAAAAATCCAAAATTATCATTATTAACAATGCAAATGTCTACTAATATTAATAATGTATTGTTATATTAAAATGAAATATTTTTCTGATAAATAGGAAATATAAATATAATCTATGTTTCCATACATTAAGAAACATCATAACAGGCCAAAATTAAAAACAAAATTTTTTAAATACGTACTGCGCTACAGTGCAGGATCCATCAATCCATCAATCGGCTCGACAATCGAAAATCAATCGACTTGAATGGAGCTCATCAACATTTAAAAAGCATTTCTGTTAATATGCAAGATATGAGAAACAAGTTTGAAGACATTATAAAAGAAGCTGAGTTTATTGCAAATAAATGGGGCATGGAAAGTAAATTTGAAAAATAAAAGAGAAATAAAGAACATAAACGCTGTCATTGTTAACAAACACATAAATTATTAATAATGTTTCAAAAATACAGAAAACATATAAAGAAGACTTGCATTGGAAGTACAACTTTTATTATTTATAAATACTTTCAGAACAGAAATCCAAAATTTGAAATCCTTTAAGGATTTAGCTAAATTAGCAATGGTAAAATATTATGACATGATAAGTAGTTATTTGGGAGTGGCAATTTACTTATATTGTATTTATCATTACCTGTAACCACAGCCACGAGTGAGAGGTCATTTTCACTACTGAAACTAATAAAAACATATTTAAGAAACATATATAAGGAACAGCATGACACAAGATCGCTTGTGAAACCTTTCACTATTGAGCATTGAAGCTGAGATGGCTGAGAAAATGGACGTCCAATTATTGATAAATAATTTTTCAGAAATGACGGTTAGAAGACGCAAATTTTAAAAGAAGGATTTTTTTTCTTTATGATGAATTTTGGCCACCAATGTTATCATTACACTTATTGAGAGAAGAAAAAATTAGAGAAGAAGAGCAGTACGGACTGAGGAAAATGAAAAGGAAACTGTAAAAAACTTTATCATTCTTTTAGCATTTTTAATAAAAATCATGTATTCAAGTAGTTTAGTGTACCAAAAGGTTTTTTAAAAAGACAGAAAAAAACTTTTCCATATATATTTTCTACAAAAATTATATGCTCAAATAGTTTTCTTTATGAAGTTTATGATAAATATGTTTTATATTTAACAAATGTATCATTTACATTATAAATAAGTTCTTATTTATTAATAAGTTCTTATTCACAAATAAGTTCTTATTTATAAATTGTATATTACTGCATAAATCATGTTCGGAAGCTGAGTAAATCACATAGTTCTATGCATTAATGTAATAGCTTTGCTGTACGTTTATGAATTATCTTGTCTGTCAGTTTATAATATAACTAATTATTTATAAGTTTGCTAACTTAAGCGAAAAAACTTAGATAGGAGCAGATTTTATATAAAAATTTAAAGCATTAGTATGTAAAACTTCTTGGATTTTATATAAAAATCTCCGCAAATCTAGGCTTTCTTCCTTTTCTTAATGCTGTACGTCGACATGTTCCTTTTTTTTATATAGACTTATTCATTTATTATCAGTATGCATCTCAGTGAAAGGAGAGAAAAATCTGTCTTTCGCACTCACACAAAAAGTCTTAAGTAACTGAATTAAAATCATCTGACGTGAAATACCCAGACTAAAGCAAATTTTCATTTCACCAGTTGGTCAAGGGAAAATATTTTCCTTTTTATTCTTTCTTCATGTTATGTACCTTTCAACTGGTTCCCTAAGAACGTGCTTTTATTTTTTAACAATTAATCCAGATGTGATAAAAATCATCATAAAAACATTGGCTCCTAAAAATCCTTGGGTTTTTTTTTTTTTTTTTTTATAAACTTTTTGCTTTTTTTTAATTTAATTTAATTTTTTTTCAAGCACATTAAATTTATTGGGAAAGGGGCCCAGGAAAATTTTTTGCATAGGGGCCCAAGAGTTCTAGTTATGCCACTGTCACTATCACAGTGAAATATGTGGGCTTGCTCTCAAACATATACTTTTATACTCCTCGCAGATGACGTATTTTGAGTGCAGCGTCACTAATTTGCACATTGCAGTTTTACTCAGCTACTCTTACTTAGTAACATATTCAAATTTTACACGGTTTGGCTTATTTTTAAGGGAGTTATCGGTATTTTTGTGATTTTTCCTTAATTTATGATAACCAGTGTAAATAATGCAGCATTTTTGAAAGAGGATCAGTGCAGTGGTTGTGTGTATGCTAATTCTGTAAATGTGTGTTAAAGATGAGACTAGTCAAAAGTCCTCGCAATGAAATGCTTCTAGTAAATAAAATCTTGAGGAATTAAAATCATTCTCATTAAAGATGCAGTCATTATTCTTTTATTATTTTGTGTGGGTTATTTATCTACACTACATAAATGCAGCTCCAAAAGCATGAAAAATCAGTTTTCACAAACAATAGCTATTCAGGATGTTGATTAACAGTGAAAAATTACTTTTTTTTATGTCTTTCAAATATTTATGAGTTGTTTTATTGCAAAATTTTGGTAAAATCTGGATTAAAAAATCTGAATTACATCTTTAAAATTTTTGTAAAGTTATTTTAATTTAATTCATTACAGCAATAAAAAAATTGACACTTTGGAAAAAAAAATGGAATCTATTAGAAAGGAATATCAACAATCTCAAGAACTTTTGCAGCAGTCATTATTAGATAAAGAATTATTAGAAGAGGAAAAGACAAAATTTTGTAAGCTATTTTTGAAAATTTAATCTGGAAAATGTTATTTTGTGCTTGCAACTAAAAATACAGAATTTTGCATGCCATCAATTTTTACTAAGTTTGTATCTGTGTTATGCACTTCATCATTACTTTTGAGCCAATCCAAAATTCATTGCTATTTCTACCAAATAGGTAATTTTGCATCTGTGCCTCAGTTATGAAATTTAAAAGCTGTTGAGAATATTTCAGCTAATTTGCATCAGTATTGAATAATTGAAAGCAAATATTAGTGGCATTGATGTGGAAAATTCTGCTCTTTAGTATAGTAGAGAAATAATCAAATATATGTTTAGAATGACTCTTTTTGAGGTCTTTTCTGTGCTTCTTTATGAATGAAGTTTTAAGTGTTGCTTATATCCAGTGTCTTCCATTTCCATGACATTAAAGTAGGAATACAGGCTTTATTATATTTTTCATGCTACAATAACAAATAAATGTACTAAGGTATAATCATACCTCGAATGAGATGTATCTTTGTTTTTTTACGTCAAACCATACCCTGACAGAATAAAATCTGTAGATACAATTATGCCTCATGACTGAGGGAAAAGGTAGAAATAAACTAGAAGCAGTCTTGGCAAGAGTTGCCACTGCACAAAGCATATTTTATCTTTGATGCTGTCCAGTGTATGGTCTCTTAAGAGTGTTACCATTTGACAAACCATAAGATATTTAATTTATGTTTCAGATTTAATCGTTCTATTATTATTTAATGATTGAATGGTCTAAAAGCATTGTGTTGTTATTAAATCAATCATATGGTCTTAATTTGTCTTCTGCAAGTGCTTGCACATAGCCGACACTTAGAGTATTAATAAGATTTTTAATTTATCTTTCAGTTTTAATCATTGTATTATTGATTAACAAACTGAGTTGCTTAAAAGCAGTCACTCTGTTTGTTTATCAGTAACAAACTGAGTAATAATAATTTAAATCTTTATTTTACTTTTTGTAATTATTTACCTAATTTGGTGGTCTCAGTCTCAAATTGTACCCAGGCCAAATGCATGATCTAAAAGTAGTTGATAGGCTGAAAAAGAAAAGTCCTTTTTTTGTTGTTGTTACTAAAACAAAATTTGTCAACTAAATTTAAAAAACTACTGGATATTTCTCAAAACATACATATAAAAATGATGCAAAGAAAAAATTCAAATTTGTGCTTAACTTTCTGCCTGAAATCTAAAAGTAGGCACTTGCAAGAAATTTTTATTCATCACAGTTTGTAATTCAAATGTATTGATATTAGATTCACATTTATTCAAATAATTGTAGTATACTGAAGTAACCTCTAAATAAGTTACTTTTAATTTAAACTAAAAAGAAATGTGCAAAAACTTCCCAAGAGAGACAAAATTTGAGAATAAATAATGACAATGTATTCTTTTTCTTTTTTCTATGAAGCTTGTAAATAATTATAAACTTTAGTTTCTTACTACACCTTTCACCTCATAGCATTTCGATTTTCATGAAGTTTTTTTGCCTTAAAGGGAACTTATTAGAAAGTATCTTCATCACCAGTTAGTAGATACACATTGGCATTCTTTTCATAGACTTATTATTAATTTTCAGCTATAAAAAAACTGTTCATGTGTAAATGATCTTATTGCTAATTATACAGCTACTCGTATTGCAATAATTTGTAACTGAATATATTTATTTATCTTTTAAGGACAAAGACTAATAAAAGTTAATCAAATTTGCATCTTCAAATCTTTCAATAAGATTTATATCTCAATGTAAATTAATTAGCTCCATCTGTAGATTTTCCGACGTGTAATTCGCGTTTTTTTTTAATTGATAAAGATTATGTAAAATTGAATTCAAAATCATTAAAATCTTAAACATTTTCTTCCAGTTCTCATCATAATAATTGTAATTAATTTACAAAAAATGCATTCACTGGCCACATATAATAGCTTTAGGGACCTTGAGTTTGAAACGACTGGCCTAATAGATATAAATTAAAATGTATTTAATTTATGAGATAGCCAGCTAAAAATTTTTATGAACATTTACTGTTATCATTGTGTTAATTTTTTGTAATAAATAAAAAATGTTTCTAATACCATGCATTTTGTAATAGATACATAATTTTAAAAAGAATTCAATATTGTATTTCTTTAATTTTATAAATATTTAAAAAAATTAAATTTTTAATGGTAAATTTTACTTTGCAGTGTCAAGCTGTAATCTGAGGTTTCCAAATTGCAGTCTTCTTGTTACACTCTTGTATAATGTTATTTTATTTACATGTAATTTGCTTTGGCAGTATCATAATTTTTGTAGTGTCACAGCAATGTCACCATAATTCAGACTTTCCTTCTATTAGGTTTGAATTTAACAAATTAATCTGATAGACAGTAATGTGATTAGCTATTAAATAATGCATGATTGAGAATTTTAAGAAACGAAACATAAGAATGGCAAATTTAGAAATCATAGATAATAGCCATAAGTTTATTAAAATTTCTGTATGTTTATGTAAAAAATGCAAGTTGTTTACATGCCAACTGGTAGAAAATGATTAGGCCTAATTTTGTGTAAAAGCTTTTTGATTTGTCTATAATGCAGAATCTTTTTAATGTATTTGCATATTTATAATTAAGATCATTATATTTTTGTGTTCTTATTGGTATAAAATCATAAAATCATTTTAATAGCCACTATTCTTTCAAATATGGAGAAGCAGTGTTTGGATTTAAAGAACTGTCTGGAGAAATTGCGAGATGAAGAAAGTTTTGTTAAAGATTCCCTCATTACTTTGCAAAATTTAAGCCAGTCCTTTTCACTGGAAAAGTCTGACTTAACTAAGTCTTTAAATGATGTAAGTATTAGTTGGATTATCATAAGCATTTTTTTATATTATAAATTTCTTTAGCAAGATAATTTCAGTTATCCCCCCCCCATTTTGAATGAGTCATCCTAGCACACTGGCCATTCTCTTCCAGTGCCTATTTGTTTCTGACATCTATGGCTTTAATGTTTCATCATCTTCTTTGCTGCATAAATCATGCATGCAGTCTGGTAAATTACCAATTCACATACACAACAGGTATTTCTTTCTTTTACCTACCAAATTATTTTAGTACAGTGAAACCTGACCATCTGGCATTCAGCTAATTGGAAAGCTCAAATAATTGGAATATTTTAGACCCCCCCTCCTGAAAAATTAAGCAAATGAGAAGATTTGTAAAGTATATACAGTATGATTTAGTGCCAATAATGGTTAAGTATGATGTGTCACAATGCAATAATAAGATCTTTTTGTTAGTTTTATGTAAACTCAATTTAATAACTGATAAGCTGATTTGGTTTTTGTATAGAAGGATATAATTTATCTGTTTTTGCTATTTTAACATTCTGAAAAAATTATTAAAATTTGGAATCTACCTTCTACGGAACAGCTTGGGAGTACAGTATTTGATCTTGACATTACAAAACTATGCATTAAATGGGCGAAATATGCAACTTTTTAGAACAAATAATGCAGCATAAAAAGTTATGATAAGCAATTAGGATTTTTATATGCCATTACCGTGACTTTTCTCTCTTGTTTTCTAACTAAAAAAGAATGATGTCATACTTATTACTTTTTTCTCTTGTTTTCTAACTAATTAAAGAATGATCTCTTTTTTTAACCTTTTGCTGGAATGATTGGTGCAAATTTGGTGGCATTTCCACCAATTTTCATGGTCAACTGGATTTCTAAATTGGATAAATATTTTACTTTCATATGTTTAAAGCATACAAAATATGTTGGTTTTTAATATATTTAAAATGCATTTTTTAAAATTTTAATTTTAAATGTAGACTTTTGATATTCATATTGATAATAAAAAAAAAGTTACTGGTTCTGTAATTTTAGACCGGAAATTTTTTATTCTGTTCATTTGGTTTTTCTCCCATAAACTGCATTTTTTGTACACTTATCTATCCAAAATTTTCAGATATCTTAGACAGTAACATAACATGATAACATAGTTCAAGCTAGAAATTATTTTTATTAAATTTATATTTTCAAGTGTCAATCCTATACTTCTTTTAAGAGTATTACTAGCTTTGAATGAGAATCTTAAGGGCACTATAACTGTTTTCAGATGTTTGTGTTACAACATCACATTCAGTCTTCAGTTTTCAGGAAACATTTCATTAAAATGAGAAATCTTTTATTATACATTCCATCATTCATTTCAGTATTAGTGCATTCCTTTTTATGATGTGCATGTCTAATTGTGATGATGAGCATGTCTAATTCAAAAAAATATTCAAGGAGGAAGACAAAATATAACTCATATGTTTTCTTTTTTGAAATTTAGTTCTTCATTCTTTCAGTAAAGAAATTCCATATTGCACAAAACAGCTGCTGAATAATATTTTTGTTTTTCAGGTGCCATGTTTTATTTATTATTTTTTTTTTCAAAATCTATTTGGATTTCTTTTCTTTAGTTATAAAAGCATTAATGTAGGTATATTATAAAATTTAAGCCACATAAAAATTTTGTGGCTTTCTCTTATTAACTTCGTAGCAGGAGATACCTGTACTGGGTTTCAGCATATCAATAGAACTACACTTTTGGGGGAAAAATAGTTTTCAGAAGCCTGTGAGTATTCTGAATAAATAAAAAAAATATGTAAATAAATGATTGTGTTCTTTACGTTTAGGCTATGCAAGAAGTGGAGAAATTGAGAACTGATAAGTCAATTGCAAAGGTTGAGTTAGGAGTAGAACAAATACAAATGAAATCAAAGATAGAGGAACTTATGGAGAAGTGTGCAGAGCTTGAGAGAGAAAGAGAGAATCTTCAGAAGCAATTACAAGAAGTAGAATCAACAAAACATGATGTTGAAGAAGAAAAAAGCCAAATTTCTCTTCGCAATAATGATCTTTCTAATCAAGTTACAAAGGTAATGCCCCTTTTTATATCATTCTATTGCACTAACAGTTTTTCTGGTAGTGAGTATTAAAAAAGATATTTTTTTCTTAGCCATGATGTGTAATTGGTCATTCTTTTAATAATTTAAATATGAATTCATTTAACATTTTTGTTATTTATCTTATACAATACTATTTATACATTGTTATTGTTTCACATTTGATGAGGTTATATAATTTCATATTTCCTTAACCTTTTTCAACTACTTTTCAGGTTCTTTTCTTACTTTCTTTTTCTTTTTATTTGTGAAAGGCATTGCTAATAAATTTTTGTGTTTCTTCTGATACCAGATCAAATTTGGTTCAGCTTTGGTTTGCTCTTGTCACGAATTTAACACCATAATTCTGGAACTTGTTAGCACTCAGCTGATTGATGAATTCAAAGCACTGTGTTGCTAACACATTTCTTCAATTTACCTCATTTCGTATAAGTCTAGATGTTGTACGCAATTCTTTTTAAAAAGCACATGAAAAAAATTAAGACATTCAAGTTTTTAAAATTTTTTGGTAGCTTTTTAAAAACTCATTTAATATTTATTGGTTTTTGTCTTCCTTAGTTTTCCACCCAAAAGAAGACATTCGAAATCGAACTAGAGCAAATAAGAGAAGAACTGAAGCAACAAGTAGCCCTAACAGAAAATGCAAATAAAGAAAATAATTCCTTGATTCGTACAAAAGCTGAACTGAGTATGAAGTTAGAAACCATGGAAAAAGAAATCACTCAGCTGAATGAAATCACAGGAGCTTTACAGGAAGAAAAGGCTAATTTAGAAAAAGCTTTATATACTTCTCAGAAATTTAGTGTAACCCTTCAAGAAGAGAAATCTGATTTGGTGAGGGAGATAGAAAATCATAAAGCTACTATTACAAATCTCCAAGGTATGCATTATATTCTTGATTGGCCTTTGTATATGTTTAATGTTATAAAATTGTACAGTACTTTTTGATTATATGCATTTTTATCAAAAGTCACAAAATTGTTGATGACTTTAAAGAGCATTTGGAAACTTCTTGCTGACTTTGGAGACTGTCATTTTTGGGGGTATCTTTATGTCTGTCAATGATGCATATAGTGCCTTCTATTTTAATGCATTCTTCTTTTTCCACAGAATGCACACACACACACACTTCTTAGGTAATTAAATCACTTGATAGTGGTGTTTGGGGATAATCCCAATTTTTCTTCACATAATTTTACTAATTAAGCAAACAACTGTTGCAAACAAGATATGGTTATCTTCAACCCAGTTTCCAACCCACATTCTGACACTGTGCTAGGAATTTTTCACATTGCATTTCCATAAAATGTGGTCATTTAAAAAGTATGTCTTCATAGAATGTGAATTTTTGCATTTTCTGTGGTTGAGCAAAATGCCATATTTCTGAAGAAATGCAACACTGTTTTTTTATCAGCCAGCAAAGTTCATAATTCCAATATAATTCATTTTGACAAAAACAAATTTGTGCTGTGCAGAAAAAAAAAACTAATCAGGAAAATTACTATTGTATTTCAAAAGTGCAAATTCATTTGTACTCAAACATACTTGTACTTTTTTTTTTTTTTTTTTTGTGTGTGTGTGTGTGTGTGTGGATGTGTGGGTGATGTGTGTAATGTGCATAAAAAGTTTTGAATTCTTTCCTTTTACCCACTGCGGGCCATAAATCTAAAGATGTATACATGTATACAGCATATGAAACTCAAATAGAATTATTTGTATGTCTCAGGTGCCACTTTGAACAGTAATGTGATTAGCACAAGCTGATTGTTTTAAGTTTACTTTCAAAACTTTGGATGAAGCATGGACATTTGTAACTCTTATATGTATGTGGAATGAAAGTGCTTATCTCTTGAAAAAAAGTTTCCTTTTGAGAGTTAGTAGTAGAAGATCAGTTTCCTAAGTGTAGTTTTGGTCACAACTCTGTTAGTTCAGGTAGATGGTCTCATGTGCTTTACCTTAATTAAGTAATCCATTGCAAATCTCAGTTATGATTTTTAATGCTGTTTTAATGCTTGTGAATGTTTTTTGTAGATGTTGTTGTTTATGTAACTAAAATGAAAAAAAAAAAAAAATTTTTTTTTTTTTTTTTTTTTTTTTTTTTTTTTTTTTTTTTAAGTGCTCTTATCCTTTGCATAAAACTTTTCTTTTCCCCGTTCTGCTTAAAAATATCCATTTAACTATTAATATATAGTAAAATATTCTTTTATATAGATAGGCAATCAATATATTATGTTTCAAGTTTTTCTGAATATATGGTTGAAATAGCAAATAAAACTTAGTAGCATTCTTGTAATTAGACATAATAAGCAAAAACTTCAGATCTTCTATGTATTCTTAGATTTAAGATTTGGAACGATAAATATTGGGAATAATTTTATGGTATCTCAGTATCTCTCTTTTCCAATGTTGTAGATATTGAAAATTTTCATGTGATAATAATGCATCAGAAGAGTATGATATTATAGGAAATAATTATAATTATGCAACATGTTAACAGTTAATTAAGACAGGCTATGAAATTTGCCCACTGTTGAAAATTTTGTAAATGCTTAAAAAACCTTTGTTGGTATAACTCAACAAAGACTTATTCCTGAAAGACAAGCAAATTGTTTAATTAAGACACAATAACACGCCGAACAAATACTAATTCGGAAGTCAAACAACAAAAATCAACATTATATTTTCAAATTTTCACAGGACTAATTTCGATGGTTTTACCGAACCACCGTCCTCAGCTGCAAAAGTGCACATGAACGAGATAGGAAAATTTGAAAATATAACGCTGATTTTTGTTTGACTTCTGAATAAGCAAAGTATTTGTTGATATAACTCAACAAAGACTAACTTGTATTTGCTATTAGTGCTCATATTTTACATGCTGATGCCAAGTTAATTTGGGGAATTCTTAATTTCACACTGTCTTATCTGTTAATCAGTTTAAGTTTTAAAATGTGTACTAGCTTTGAAATTAGGCAAAAATTTATTTTTGAAGTAGGTAATAAATAATTACATAGCTATATTTTTCAACTTAAAAACCAAAAGTAGAATATTTTTACATATAATTTTAATACAACTGAAAACAAGCTGAAAAATAATTGCAGATAAGATATTAACAGTTCTAAATGGACTTACTTGCCTGTGGCCTGCAGCAATAATAAGGTAGGCAGATAGTTTTGCTACTTGCAGTGTTCTTGAAATGGCAATGCTTTATAAGCCAATGCAGTAAAGATCCAACCGTGAAACCTCTGATTATCCAATCTCGTTTTGTTCTTGTTTTATCTGATATGTCATGAAAACTTTAATTATGCCAGAAATTAATGTTAATATTGTAATTGACAGTGAATTGCATTCAAGAAATCTATATTATTCCAAGTGCTTCAAAGTTCTGAAAGCTTCATAAGCTTGATATTTCACTATAAAGAGCATAAGAAGTTTATTTTAAGAATTCATATGTATTAGTTATTCACAGGGTTTTGATATCATTCTTCTAAGTTTTCTTCAGTAGTATAACTTTTTGTATTTTAATCTAATAAAAATGTATTTTTAATGTATTAAAGACATCAGATCAAGATTAGCAGAAAATGCTTCTTACCTGTATATATAAATGAGAGGCTTTATTAAGTTTATTTATGCAAGGATGAGTTTATGCAAAACATTGCCTCTGTGTTGAAAGAATAGTTGTTGGTGACTAAATGAAAAAACTAAGGTAAGTAAAAAAATATTGCCTATTTGTGCTTAATGAAAAGATGTGATTAACAGAAGCTGAATGAAAAATCTTCCTGTTATTCAATAAAGAAAGAAAAGAATATTTATAATAGATCATTTCTTTTCCAGAAAGAAGTTAAATAAAGATGAATCTTATTTCACAAGAAGTGTGAAAGGAGATTGTTTTTATTTTCTTGTTAGTTCACTAGAAAAAGTACTTAGGTAATGTACTGTAAATATTAATGGATTTACTTTTATACAGTGAAATAAAAATATCACAGCATAAAAACTTTGACAACTTTATGAATTGGCAAAATCATTTATTTGGCTATCTTTACTGCTAACTGGTATTGTTCTGTTCATAAACAATAAAGAGTGTTCTGTTCTAAACAACTATTCTGTTCACAAACAACATTTTTTTCATGAAACAAAATATTTTATGAAAAGGTGTCAACTTCAACTGTAAAATTATTCAAAATTCAGTCTTAAAGCTGTCATATCTTGAAGAAATCTAATACATACCTATGTTCTTAAAGAACATATTCCCTTTCCCTCCCCCCCCCCAAAAAAGAGCAAACCAGCACAGTCTGAAAACTTTAGATTGCAGTTATCATATCAAAGGAGGCTTTATTGTTAAAAGCTTAAAAAGTTGAAAAATTTGAATAAACCATACAGATATTTTGCTTTTTTTCTTAAATAGATATAATATCTATTATTGGCAATTCATAAAATTAAATCTTTAATACTGATTAAAATTAAAAATCATTTAAATCAATATAAAAATTTTTAAGTTCCATTTTTTCTGCAGTTTTTTTTAAATGGTGTAAACTGGAAATCATGTCAAAATATTAAAAAGGCAAATTATTGTTTGAAAAAAAAATTAAAAGTAGAAATATATCTAAACATTTACAGAATGTCATAATAACCTTTTAATTTTATTCTGGATGCAAATAATGGCATATTCAAGAAATAGAAAGGTACTTACGTATTAACGCAACCAGGCCAAAATTCGCATAAATCGCCAAATTTGGCGACCCTACTTACGGCAACCCTACGTGTTATACGTAGTTTTTCGTAAAGAAATTATTTTTCTTACTGGTTAGATTAAATGCCCTGAAATACTTTAACTATGGGTATTTGGGATCTGCCTGGAAGTGAAAAAGATGCTGTTGAATTGTTGCAGGGATATGGAATTATACCGAATGAATGTACTTGTAAAAATTCTCATAAAATGAAACTGTATTTTGGAAAGCAAATCTCCTGGAAATGTAACGTCGAAGAGTGCAATCAACATTTGGGTGTGAGAACTGGAAATTGGTTTGAAGGTAGCCGAATTTCATTTGTGACAGCGGTGCGCTTCATTTATTGTTGGTGTAAAGAGTTAACCTCAATTAAGTTTGGCGCAACAAAAAACAGAGAGGAACAGCCCGTCATCATCTTGACTCATACCTTATCGAATTTATATGGCGCTAAGCTCAAGCTGTTAATGGCGAAGACGGTTTTCAATCAGTGCTAAAAGCAATAGCCAAAAGATTTCCGCCAAAAAAATAATTCTGAAACTTATTCAAATTCGAAACCGGAAGGGTTTAATTGCTATTTTATATTTTAAAACAAAATAATATAAAAAACTGTATTAAAAATTATCTGTAATTAATAAATGTACATTTTCTTTCTATTCATACTTTTTTACTCAAACTTACAAATCACACCAACCTGGTTGTGATAATACGTAAGTACCAATAGAAATTTTGCAGTCGACCAGCTATACTGCGTATGTTAGAGTTTTTTTTTTTTTTTTTTACTTATGACATTCACAGTATAATATACACTGGGTGCTAAGGAATTTGAGTAAATTTAGTTTTTAAAGTATAATATACTGTGGTTGCTAAGTTCAAGTAAAATTACTTTTTAAATGGTTATTGTATAATGCATTAAGCAATGCATTTTTGTAGTATAGAAGATAAATGAAAGGCTTATGTAGCAAGAGCATTTATTTATTGCAGAAAAGGTTTTATTGCAAAGTGAAAACAAATACCTCAGAAAGATTTTTAAAAAATAAAATAAATAATAGTAATAAAGAAAGTGAGAAAAATTAATACTTTGTGAAAGTTTCATCTGTTGAATAATGTCGTAGAAAGAAAATAACTAAAACTATGACAAACGAGGAACAGGATT